GTTGTGCTTGCGGGGATGTGCCATATCCCTCTCACCGTCACCCACTCGTAGGATATATGCATTCCAAGGTTGTTGATGGCGAAGTTCGAAAGGGCTTGCCTTCCCTGGCGCTGAACCCGCTGTGCGAAAATAGAGGAACTTTCTCAAAATCAAGACAGATCGCTGTGGCCTTAGACGTCCACGTAGTTCGGGACCTCCAAGTGGTCAAAGAAGCCCTCAGGGAAGAAGACTCGTGGAATGATAGAGGTGCCAAATCCTGTGCCTCCTGCCACAGAATTATTCAATCCCGATCCGTGTTCCCAATGGATCGTCTCGTTCAAATCCTCTACGCACGACAACGACGCTTCTCTCGTGATTCCTTTCTTTGAAGGTGATATGGAAAGAGACATGGAATAGAGTCGAGAGGAAAAAAAACTGCAAGGAAAAAAACGAAAGCTGCAACCTCCATTGCTGCGAAGGGGATCATCAAATGGGCTATTCGAGGTATATATCCAAAATGCCTCCAATTTGACGAAAGAAAATGGAATACTGGAGTAGCAATGAATTTGAGATTTTAGTGAGGCCTGAACAAGTTCCCCAACTACCTGTCTCGGCTGTCATTTTCTATATAACTTATGTAGAATGCCGAAGGGAAAGCTACCGTTCACAAAACGTTATTTGTGGCTTTGACGAAATCATCACACACAGCTTCTTGTCTAATCACCGGAAAAATTGAAGTCGAATAATTAACATTCGAATCTAATCTACTCACTGGTCTTCAATGCTTTCTGTATAAGACACGTGACCAGTGTTAATATCCTTGAACGATCCATGGCTTTAGGAAATAAAAAACCATGAATGTATTGCCTGAAGTTTCAATATATGAGAATTCAAATGGCTGAAGACAAATATATGCAAAACTCGAACATTTGGAGTCGTATTTCTGGCGCTGGCTCGGGTATGGTCATACATTATCACCTGAAATACTCCCATCGACTTCGCCCATTCTTATAGTCACTTTTCGAACGTGTAAACCCACATGTCAAATGAGATTTTCAGGTAAATTCAAGAAGTCATGCAATGCGAGCCTATTGCATGCGAACAGTGTTTTGTCAAGGAATTCGTACCTCTGCGAACATGAGATCCATACTTTCTATGAGAGAACTTCAATTTCGACGGAGGTTCCAAATTGGAATTTTCCAGCTGGTCTAAAGCTGTAAATTCAGACCATTTCCAGCTGGCAAAGAATGGAGAAATAGCAGATACAGGTAGCTTTACAGCTGGAATTTTCCAACTGGAATGCAGCTGGTTTTAATAGATGTTTCCAGCTGGAAATTTTCTGTTAGAATTTTATACAGTGAAGCCTCCTGCTGGAATATATTTGAATTTACAGCTGAAATTCAGCTGCTTCTGTAGATGGACCTCCTGCAAGAATAGCCAACAAAAACATTCTCATTCCACCTGCGATGTTGCGTCTAGGAACCAATCTGGATCTGACTTTTACTTTCCAGTTGTTACCCAGTCGGAATGGGTCCGAATTTACAGCTGGGGTCTAGTTGGAAATGATAGTTATTTCCAACCGGGACTGGGATCATAGTGCATGGGCATACAGGGTGTCCTAAAAGTCGCTTTACCGAGACGGTGAAGTGTTTACCGAGACGGTGAAGTGTTTAACTATGATTATTTTCACTTGCGTTCAGATTTTTATTTGCAGATGTGAAATGTACATTGAACATGATGGACAACAATTTGAACAATTTCTGTAGCTCCTCATTGTCACTTTCACCTAGACCAGCCCGAGAGGAGGGACCCCCTGAGGTCACTCTCAAGGCTCTACAATTGTGGAAATTTATGGAAGTTGGCCAAATTCCTACAAGAACCCCTGAAGAGGAGGGAGGAAACCATTGGAATCACCTCGGAATAGAAAATGAAGACTGTTTTATTTTTAAATGAATGTCATGTGGGCGGAAATAACCTCTCATCCCCTCTCTCCCCTTTCACTTCCTTTACATCCTCTCTCTGATCTATATTCCTCTACCTCCCCCTCCCCCACCTCCTTACTGCACATTCGCCATGAGCAACCATTTAAGGACTGTATTTTGGAAGTCAAAATAAATATCATTATTATTGTCACTTTCTGCTGATGGTTGGTTGTAAATAAAGTAGTTTTCCCTGGAACGTGAGTATAATCTCGGTAAAGCGACTTTTAGGACAGCCTGTATTTCTTGGGTGAATTACTGTGGATTTGCATATCAATTCCGCACTGTATTCGCACAGCATGAATCGTTCGTCTTTCAGGGGGGGAAAAGGACTAGCACTGCACTTCATGCCGACTGCTTACAGACCTCATGAAGTATGGTAATGATAGATCCCTTCCTAAAAAAATCTCACCCATCCACACAGTGGAACGGGTGTAGAATGGTGTGGATATCATGAGGATGGCTCTAAGTCGCATGTGGAATCAGTGTGGAAGGGGGTGGAAAGGGTGCAGAGTGGTGTGTAAATCGTGAGGACTTTTCTGAACCGCGTGTGGAAGGGGGTGGAACGGGTATGGAGAGAGTGCGGTCATTGAGGGGAATAGGTGTGGACAAAGTGAGGAATGGTAGGGATGAGGAAAGGAGGGGTAATATCAGGTAATTCATGTTGACCTTGAGATTGGATCATTTTTATTTTCTCATTATGTTATTTTTTTAATACTTTTCTTAAATTTATCATACAAACCTGGTGATTCATTTCAAAGGTCCTAAAAAATAAAGTGCAAAAAAGGGGAAATACTCAGTCAAATACCATTACTTAAAAAAAAATTTATTGGTAACAAGGATCGACGGAAACCTCCTATGCAGTGGCATCACAAATTCAATCTGAAAGCAATGTCGAGTGCGTTTCGTCACTAGGGGTCCATGAAACCAGAGGGCCTAAGCTTCTTGTGCAGAGCGCAACTGCGCCACCTCTAAAGGCTCCCTTTTCGCGACTGCACCGCAGAGTTCGACTGTCTAACGCAAATGACTGCAATTTTTTAACCTTATCGGGAAGGCATCCGGAACGAGCAATATCAATATAGCTGAAGAAGTGCAGACAGTACATTCTTGGGACTTTAGCACCCTTTACACAAAAATCCCCTTGGACCTTCTGCATAAAACGCTGGCAGATCTGTTTCGAGAATTTTTGCCTATGGGTTACAAAGATTACTACATTGGTGTGGACTTCTTTTCAAATTTCCTTAAAACAGGCTTACAGAGTAATTTTAATCTCATGGATAATAATGTGTTTCGCTAAGTCGGTCTGCTGGATGGTCTGCTTCCACTCTGTGGGACTAGGGCTAGCCTCTGAGTCATAGGCCTGGGTTAGTCCCTGGCCTAGGACAGATTTTAGGGAATGGGCATAGGCCATTCGCCTTCTATAGTCAACTGTCACCTCCTCTTCCATTGCCTTCTCCTTTCCGTTGGTTTTGGTTTGCGTCCGTAGGCTGGAATTAAAACACGTGATCCAGTTTACCCAGTGAATTCTCCCAGTTTTTGTGGAATTTTCTTTCTCCACTCTTTTCTTATCGAGCCATGGATTTTGGATACATCTTTCGGGCACGAATTCCACTAGAGGTTAATTTCTTCATAACTGTCAGTTAGACGTTGTCTGCGCTCCTGAGCATCGTCAATTCCATTTTCACAGGATACTTTGCACTGGTGTGCGCACAGGGTGTCCACTTCCTATGGGAGTCGTATCAAAGTGACCAAACACTAAGGCTTAAGTGGCTAAAAACTGGGGGGTTTACCCTATTCCTCTCAAGGAAATTCCACATCCAGCCAAATCTACACGGGTGGATATTCCTCATGAGGAAATTCCACACCCAACCAAATCCCATCCCAAATTCCATCACCGAGGAGATGATCGAGAATATGATAGGGAAGCTGAAGGTGGGCAAGGCGAGCGGCCCCGATGGGATTCCTGCGAGAGTCATTAAGGAAACCGCGAGAGAAATATCGGTTCCGCTAAGAATTATATTCGATAGCAGCTTCTCGCGCGGGGAAGTACCTAAGGACTGGAGACGCGCAAACGTCGTACCGATCTTTAAGAAGGGCGAAAAGAGTAATCCAGGAAATTACAGGCCGGTAAGTC